ATGAAAGCTTGAGTAAAATATAAAACATTTATTTGTTTTAATTAATCGAGTTATTAAATTAAAAAAATTTGATAATAAATAAATAATTAAATACTATAAATTATTATTGTTAGTGTGCAAAACATGTCAAAGGAAAAGAGTGTGTCGTGCGCGTTATGAGTGAGTTTAACGATTAATGATTATAACGATCGTGAGCATGCTATCGTGATACCGTAGTATGTATTGTGTAAGTTTTAAAGAGAAAGAGAGAATAGGGTGCGAATAATATCAAGATTGGTCTCCGTGGAAGGCAATTTAGAGCAAAGAGAAAAAAACATATTTAAGCAGATGATGAGTTTGTGACACGCTAGTGCGTGTTCTCTTTTAATATCGATTTTAGTTGTATTGAAAGGAGCTACATAAAAAATATTTCTCACAGTTATGAGTTCAAAAGTAAAGTGATGGGTAAAAGTTTTTTTTTTAGACATTCCACCGGTATATAATTCAAGCGCAAACATACGTAAAAACATCGAATCGCTCGAAATAATAAATAATAATTTTTTGCGGTAAATATTTGTCTAATATCGATTTAGAAATTCTGTATTTATTATTAAGAATTTAAATATTTAAAGATAATTATAATTATAGTTAATCACGTGAAATAGATACAGAAAAGCAAATAAGTATTTATATTTTTAGTTTATTATTTTTATTTATTTATTTTATTTTATTTGCTAATGCAACAATCAGTTCCTGTGTCAAAATCATTTGATATTATGATGAGGTTCATTTTGACAAATATTAGATTTATATAAAAGCCATATCAATATACATTTAAATCCTGTTATAAGTAAAATATTTATGGAAATGAATTTTTTTTTTTAAGGCGGATTCAGGGCTAGAAACATTAATTTAAGATAATTTTTTAAAGTGTAAAAAAAATGCAATTAATATTTTTACTATACATTTTTTTTATCCAAGTTATTAATTAATATAATATCCAAGTTATTATTTAACATTATAAGAACACAGAAAAAAATAAAAAAAGTTGAAAATTCATAAAATTAGCAGCTAATAAAATAGAAGGGTCTTAAAAAATTGAGACGTGACCATATCCATGATTACAATCCTCTTAGCAATCTAAAATAAAAAAATAAAAAAGATTATTAATCTAGAGTAATGTTGCAATGGCTAGAACTAAGGAAAAGTTGAAAAAAAAATTTTTTTACCACTTTTTTTGACTAGAATATTTTAAAAATAGTAAAAATTGAAATTTGGGGATGACCGTAGTTTGATTTTTTATTTTTTTTATTAATTTTTTAATTTTTATCATGCACTATACTGTTGAACTCCTTTATTTTCATCCTTGATTTTCTTAACTTGGAAGAATATTTAAAAAAATAATTTTTTACTGAAAAATTTTTTTGTCTTAGGATAATTATTTTTTATTTTGAAAAAAATTTAAATTCTTCTAAAAATTTAATTAATTTCCATTATTTATGGTATATAATTATGACTCAATAATTTTATATCAAGATTTAAAAAAGCTAACAATATCATTATGATTTTAGGCAAATATGGCCAACACTTTATTATGAATTCATGTTGATATAATAATTTCATAATTAAATAACTAGAAATTTTCTTTCTCAAAAAAGGAAAATATAAATTTTATAATTTAGTTAAAAAAAATTTCTTCCCATAAAAATTTTACTTATTTATTTATTATTTAATTTAAATGCTAAGGAAGTATAGTCAAATGGCAAAAATATACAAAAAAAAATTATAATGAAGATATAAAATTAAAAAAATTTTAGATATTAATTTAAGAAAAAATCATTTTTCTTAAATTTAGAATGTATTTCTGATAAATCTAAAAAAAAATTATAAATTTGAATATAAAAATTAAAAAGTAAATTAATATGGCTTTTATATTAATTTTATATATGTTTAAAAATATAAATTTCATTGTGATATTTATGAGGAACCTCATAATGATAATTAATGATTTTCCCACGGGTTAAGACTCAGAATACAACTGAAATAATTATAAAAAATTATTACTTAATAAAAAAAAAAAAATTAATGAAGCTTTCAGTGTGAGGTTGTTGTGATATTTAATTGATAACTTTTATCAAGTTATCCTAAATAAATTTTTATCGATAATTAGTAAATAAAAAAATGAAAGGAGCAACAACACATTTTTAGCAAGTGCAAAAAAAATGTAAATTTAGATTTAAAAAAAAAATTCAGTAGTGACGGGGCTAAAATGATTTTCCTCAAAAAAAAAAAATCCACAAAATTTTAGATAAATTGAATGAATAATGATGATGATGATAGTAATAATACTAATTGTGAAATTATATGAGGATTATATTTGGGTGGATTAATTAATTTAGAGGTAAAGGACAATCTCAAGCCTCGTCAAATACTGCCAGGTGTATTTGGCATTTCGAGAGTTGAAATTAACGTAATTAATTAATACATTTAATGAATATTTATATTTTAATTAATTATAATCATCAGTAGTGAATTATTGAAATTTTAGATTATTGCTTAAACAATAAAATGTAAATTATATCGACAATCAAGTCCATTATTTAATTAGAAATTGAAAGTAATTACTTGTAGGTATATTAAATAGTAATATTTAAATCTTTTTAAATTTCAACTCGATAATCGTAATGCCAACGTTGCATCTAGTTTAAATCCGTCCATAAATGTGTTTGTCAAATAACGACGACACAACTTGCACAAAATTTGTGCATATTAATCATTGGGACTACAAAAACATATCATATGTAATTAAATTAAACCTATAAAACAATGATAAAAAAAATATTAAGCAATAAGATTCTATTTATATGCCCATGTAAGTCAAATACGTTAAGTCAGTATGTAAGGGTAATAATAGATAAATAAATTATTAAAAATAAAACAACAAACAACAATAACAACATGCATATCAATTTTGTGTTTGACGTTGTCAGAAATCAATGTTAAACTTAATTATATTATTATTAATATTATTATAATTGTATTGTATTATGATTATTCAATTATTATTACTATTATTAATAGATATTAATTATTATAAATTATAATAAATTATTAGATTGTGAAAATGAAATATACTTCTGGTTCCAAATTTTGGAAATGATAATAAAGAAAAAAAAATATAAACTGCATTTAAGATTTTTTCTTTTACTTTTATTTTTATTAAATAATTAATATCATTAAGAGTATAAGAACAATTTTGTTTTCAGGATAGTCATATGATAAAATCAGTTTTTTAGTCAAATTTAGTGGATAAATAATTAAGAAATTACCTTGTATCTTGTGTAATATTGACATTTTTAAAGATATAAGATCATTTTGATGTTACACTCATCAAGAGCTTTCATTTGAGTACCCACATGCATTTTCATATATTTTTCATATATACATATTATAATATACAAATATATGAAAA